CTTTTTCACGCAGATGCTTTTACACACAGAAGCCTTTACACACAGACACTTTTACACACAAACGCTTTTACACACAGACCCTTTTACACACAGACCCTTTTACACACAGACGCTTTTACACACAGACGCTTTTACACGCAGACGCTTTTACACACACACACACACTTTCATACACAGAGGCTTTTACACACAGAAGCTTTTGAAGAGTGTCTCTATATGACATTTTATGGTCCTGAACTCAAACTGTTCTGTTTTTGACACCAAGCACATGATGGCATCGAGCTCTGTTGCAAACGTTTGCAGACATTTCACTAGTGAAGTATTGTCACATGTGTCATTTACAGCATCATGGTACCGATCTTTTTTGGGCCATTTATGTGGGATTTTCCATAATAAAATGAAATAACATGTGTCATACACAGCATCATGGTACCGAGCTTTTTTGGGCCATTTATGTGGGATTTTCCGTACTAAAATGAAATGACATGTGTCGTACACGGCATCATGGTACCGAGCTTTTTTGATAGTTTCTGTGGGATATTCCCAGAATAAAATGAGATAACGCGTGTCATTTACTGCATTATGGTATTGGACCTGTTTTTGTGCAAACGTTTGCAGACATTTCACTAGTGAAGTCTTGTCATATGTGTGATTTACAGTATCATGGTACCGATCTTTTTTGGGCCATTTATGTGGGATTTTCCATAATAAAATGAAATAGCATGTGTCATACACGGCATCATGGTACCGAGCTTTTTTGGGCCATTTATGTGGGATTTTCCAAAATAAAATGAAATAACCTGTGTCATACACAGAGGCTTTTACACACAAACGCTTTTACATGCAGATGCTTTTACACACACACACACACTTTCACACACAAACGCTTTTACACACAGACGCTTTTACACACAGAGGCTTTTACACGCAGATGCTTTTACACACACACACACACTTTCATACACAGAGGCTTTTACACACAGAAGCTTTTGAAGAGTGTCTCTATATGACATTTTTTGGTCCTGACTCAAACTGTTCTGTTTTTGACATCAAGCACATGATGGCATCGAGCTCTGTTACAAACGTTTGCAGACATTTCACTAGTGAAGTATTGTCACATGTGTCATTTACAGCATCATGGTACCGATCTTTTTTGGGCCATTTATGTGGGATTTTCCATAATAAAATGAATAACATGTGTCATACACAGCATCATGGTACCGAGCTTTTTTGGGCCATTTATGTGGGATTTTCCGTACTAAAATGAAATAACATGTGTCATGCACGGCATCATGGTACCGAGCTTTTTTGGGCCATTTATGTGGGATTTTCCATAATAAAATGAAATAATCTGTGTCATACACAGAGGCTTTTACACACAAACGCTTTTACACGCAGATGCTTTTACACACACACACACTTTCACACACAAACGCTTTTACACACAGACGCTTTTACACACAGAGGCTTTTACACACAGACGCTTTTACACACAGACGCTTTTACACACAGACACTTTTACACACCGACACTTTTACCCACAGAAGCTTTTACACACACACACACACGCTTTTCTTCTACACACACACGCACACTTTCACACACAGAGGCTTTTACACACAGACGCTTACACAGAGACTTTTACACACAGAAGCTTTTACACCCACACACACACATACAAACACACACACACTTTTCTAGTACACGCACACACTTTCACACACAGAGGCTTTTACACACAGACGCTTACACAGAGACTTTTACACACAGACGCTTTTACACACAAACGCTTTTACACAAAGACGCTTTTGCACACAGGAGCTTTTACACACAGACTCCTTTACACACAGACCCTTTACACACAGAAGCTTTTACACACAGACACTTTTACACACAGACGCTTTTACACACAGAGGCTTTTACACAGAGACTTTTACACACAGACACTTTTACACACAGACGCTTTTACACACAGACGCTTTTTACACACAGAAGCTTTTACACAGACTCCTTTACACACAGACGCTTTTACACACAGAAGCTTTTACACACAGACGCTTTTACACACAGACGCTTTTACACACAGACGCTTTTACACACAGACACTTTTACACACAAACGCTTTCACACACAGAGGCTTTTACACACAGAAGCTTTTACACACAGACTCCTTTACACACAGACGCTTTTACACACAGACGCTTTTACACACAGACGCTTTGACACACAGACGCTTTTACACACAGACGCTTTTGCACACAGTCTTTTTCACACAGACGCTTTTACACACAGACGCTTTTACACACAGACGCTTTTACACACAGACGCTTTTACACACAGAAGCTTTTACACACAGAGGCTTTTACACACAGACGCTTTTACACACAGGCGCTTTTACACACAGACGCTTTTACACAGAGGCTTGCATAGGCTTTTACACACAGACGCTTTTACACACAGAGGCTTTTACACACAGACACTTTTACACAGACACTTTTACACACAGAAGCTTTTACACACAGACGCTTTTACACACAGACGCTTTTACACACAGACACTTTTAGACAAAGACTCCTTTACACACAGACGCTTTTACACAAAGAAGCTGTTACACACAGAAGCTTTTACACACAGACGCTCTTACACAGAAGCTTTTACACACAGACTCCTTTACACACAGACGCTTTTACACACAGACTCCTTTACACACAGACGCTTTTACACACAGAAGCTTTTACACACAGACTCCTTTACACACAGACGCTCTTACACACAGAAGCTTTTACACAGAGACTTTTACACACAGACACTTTTACCCACAGAAGCTTTTACACACAAACGCACACACACACACACGCTTTTCTTTTACACACACACAGAGGCTTTTACACACAGACGCTTGCACAGAGACTTTTACGCACAGACGCTTTTACACACAAACACTTTCACACACACAGGCTTTTACACACAGAAGCCTTTACACAGAGACTCCTTTACACACAGACGCTTTTACACACAGAAGCTTGTACACACAGAAGCTTTTACACCCAGACGCTTTTACACACAGACACTCTTACACACAGACGTTTTTACACACAAACGCTTTTACACACAGACACTTTTACACACAGACACTTTTACACACAGACTCCTTTACACACAGAGGCTTTTACACACGGAAACTTTTACACACAGACACTTTTACACACAGACACTTTTACACAAAGAGGCTTTTACACACAGACGCTTTTACACACAGACACTTTTACACACAGACGCTTTTGCACAAACGCTTTTACACACAGACTCTTTTATACACAGACGCTTTTACACACAGACGCTTTTACACACAGACGCTTTTACACACAGACACTTTTACACGCGCAAAAGCTTTTACACACAAACGCTTTTACACACAGAAGCTTTTACACACAGACACTTTTACACACAGACGCTTGTACACACAGACCCTTTTACACACAAACACTTTCACACACAGAAGCGTTTACACACAGACTCCTTTACACACAGACGCTTTTACACACAGAAGCTTTTACACACAGAAGATTTTACACAAAAACAAAACTTTCACACACAGAGGCTTTTACACAGAGGCTTTTACACAGAGGCTTTTACACACAGACGGTTTTACACACAGACGGTTTTACACACAGACGCTTTTACACACAGACACTTTTAAACACAGACGCTTTTACACACAGACGCTTTTACACACAGAGGCTTTTACACACAGACGCTTTTACACACAGACACTTTGACACACAGACGCTTTTACACACAGATGCTTTTACACACCAGACACTTTTACACACAGAGGCTTTTACACACAGAGGCTTTTACACACAGACACTTTTTACACAGACGAAAGCGTTCATGAAGGCGATTGGCC